GCGTGTGGGTCACTCGTTGCGGTGGAATGTAGGAGGCACTCTGGAGTGTGTGTGGACGGTGAGTTCTATGTGCTTGATTGTAAAAAAACCCTTTGATGGGAGTCGAACTCCATCCAAATTTCCACGAAGGTCGAGAAGGCCAGAGGCTATGGACGACATAGCCGTCGAGAGAGGTCTACTAAAGAATCATCAGCGTATCCGCCATGATGTGGGCAAGAAAGTGCATTTTTGGACGCGCCTTGACAACCAGTGGGAAATGAGCTGATGGTGGACCCAAATTAGTGTCCGAGACATCTACTTGGTTCTTCATTTGAGGTTTATAAACCAGGTCTAAGGCGTGATCTCAACTTGAATTAAAGTCTTTGACTAAAAGCGACGGATTGTTTGGTTAGGGTTGTGTAATTTCGGCTTGGTTCTAAAAAAACGAGTCAAATGGAGAGGAACAACCAATTTTTTCCTTCTCGTTATAGATCTGAGCACGTTTGCCAGCTCTTCGGATCGATATATTCAAACGAACCACAAATTCTCTCTCCTATTGGTCACTAGTTATCCAATCATAAAATCGAATTTCGCCAACGCTCAAATCGTCCGATGTGGGCCAACACATCGACACACTAGATAATTTTGGCACATTTCTGTAAATTACAACATCAACAATGCGATTGCAGGCGCCACGTAAGTGGTACTAAAAACCGCCATAGTTTACCGTGTACACGAGAGAGAGAGAGTGGAAGATCGACTATTTATAATGCGTGCCAATAAACAAATCAGTGCATTTTAACAATCGGTATGTCGGCCTACGAACAGGCGGTGGCGGCCACAGAGTACCTGAAGGGTCGCATTCAGAATCGACCGCTGGTGGGCATCATCTGTGGCTCGGGGTTGGGCAGCATCGCTGACCTGGTGGAGAACCCCCGGATTGTCCGCTTCGATGACATTCCCGGTCTGCCTGACTGGGAGGGTGAGTTTGCGTACAAAATTCGGCTTTTTTTAAACGCCTGGCGAGGTACTGGCGTTATTTAGTATCTACGACATCTAACTGTTTTTATTTCGCAGTGATTGGCAATGAAGGATGCCTTATCTTCGGACGAATCGGCAATAAGCAGGTAGTTGTTATCCAGAGACGACTGCGGACCTACGAAGGCCATGATTACAGCGTGGTAAGTAAATTCTTCTCTGACATCTACTGAGATCTCAGCGTCGCTAACTCATTGTACCTTCAAATGACACGCCAAATTTGTACTAAGAAAGCTCGATTCAGAGCTAACAACCACTATAGGCGAAATTAAGGTAGCGCCCATCATGAGCACTGCTCACTTCATGAGCAAATTGAAAGCGGCGCTCAGGAACAAGGAGAATTAAAACAACCGATAAATCAATAGTGACATTCTGTCGCATAAAGCGCTCACACGAACAGCTATGTCTCGCATTGCCGTTTGAAAATGTCAAGGCCACTTGGCAATGCTGGAGTTCAGCCAATCAGTTTTGTCCAACACCGGATTGAAAAACCGATAAATCGATATTCATAATTAAATTCCCTTCCTTTTAAAACCAGATGACCATTCCGATCAGGGTGATGAAATTGCTAGGTGCTAAGTACCTCTTTGTCACATCGACCGCTGGTGGACTCAACAAGCACTACGAGGTCGGTGACCTTGTCATGGTGAGGGATCACGTGGATTTTTCTTCGCTGGTCGGAAGAAACCCTCTGATTGGTCAGCACGATCCAAGGTCAGTGCACCGGTCATCATCGTTTGAATTTGTGTTCCGTTTGGAAACAAATCCACATTTTTTTACAACATTTGTTTGTGCCCCTATCCTTTATTGTTCTCACGCACACGTCAGAAGTTTTCGTTTGTGGTTTGTTTATAAGGTTTGAGTTAGGCACCTGTATTTTGGTTTCCACGTTTCCGACCTCAGCAGTTTCATTTAAACAAATTAGATCAGTGTATGTAAACAAGTGATGTTTACAGTAAGTAGATCATCATGCCTAACAGTGATGATTGCTAAGCATTAAATATCCATCCTCGAGCTCTCTTACCGTACGCTAATTTCGTCCCCTTTGCTGCTTCTTTAACCGTTAATTCCTCACATATCCCTTTCGTGTGTTGTCATAGCAACCACGACGGAGAGGTATCCTTATTTTAGGCAACGGGAGTTTGTCGCAGAACTGACAAACGGGAACAAAGTGTGATGGAGAACGGACAAACTCTATAGCCTAAAATATCTTGCTGTTTTTTTGAAAAGTATCCGATCCAATGCACCACCACCACCACCACCACCACTCATCATCATCACCATTCAGTCATCATCATCGTCATCTATCTGAAGCATTTTGCTCCATTATATCCTTTTAAGATTCGGAGATCGATTTCCAGCTCTCCAGGGAACGTACGACCGCGGACTACGTAATATCGCCGCAAAATGCATGGACAAGTTGAAGCTGCAATCGGAATTGTTGGAAGGCGTCTACTTCCACATAGCTGGACCGGCCTACGAGACACCTGCCACGGCGCGGATGCTGCAGCTTCTGGGCTGTGACGTGATGGGTGAGTATTTGAGGCTCAAGGTCACGCAGTGCCAGTAGCCAATGAGATAATAGCAGTTTTCCAAATAACGATGACTAAGTCATCATTCGCGCTCACTCACTACCAGTTATCGCGCACATTCACGGACCAATCCTGCCAACTCGACAGTTCGCAAGAGCAATAACGCTTTGTTAGCTTACACACCTATTTACTTTTGCAGGCATGAGTTTAACCCAAGAAGTTCTGGTCGCCAAGCATCAACACATGAAGGTTTTCGCTCTCTGTCTGATCACAAACAAGGTCACCACCGATTCCGACACCACGGACGAGCACAATTACGAGTTGGAGACAAAAGTGGCCAAAATGAAGGCACCCCTAGTGGGCAAACTCATCGAAGGCATTCTCGACAACTTGCATTGAGTGATTGAAATACAATATCTACTTGTGGGATGTCAGTAGTGCGTATTTTATACGTTCTCACAAGTGGTTCTGGTATTCCCGGTTAAAAATAAAAAAAGTGCCTGAAACCTGGTTTCCTTCATTTAAGTACATTCGGGGGTTGAAAAAGTGTATTCAAAATTGATTTCAGTGGTTTAACAGTCTAAATGCACCAACTGAGAGGAAATTAGAGCATTTTGACATGAAAAATCGAGTCGTGTTACCGTAGCGACCAAGATGAAGAGGTTGCAAATGAGAGTCTGATGAGATCAGCAGTGTAGCGGTTTCCCTAGAATTCGCGTATCACAGTTTTTGCCTCAGTCTGCTGTCAAAATCAGATTTATCCTCAATTCAGGCGTGAACAGGTTGCGTGTGAAGATCAGCGCATTACGTGATCACGTTGTTGGAGTGGGGTGAGTGAAAGTAGGTCCAGTAATTAGGTCTTATTGGCTAATTAAGGCCTCCTCCGCCACCACCACCACCACCACCACCGCACCACCACCACCACCACCACCGCACCACCACCACCACCACCACCGCACCACCACCACCAACATCACCACCTCTGCCACCAGCGTCATCCTCACCACCATCACCCCCTCCACTTCTACTAACATCACTAACGCCACCACCTACTCCTCCACTACCAACACCGCTACCACATTTATCACCAACACCACCAGCCAAAACTATATAGGGTGGAACGCAAGGCTAATTGTAATGCCAAACAAACCCGTGTGGTCCGAGAGTGTCACGCAGCGGTTATCAAGTGGCGAATGCCAACAATTACGGCGCACGCAGTGACAACACGTTGTGCTCGCGTGTCACACCATGTCTGTCCACGCCACTGTGTGTGCGTGTGTGTGCGCGCGGGGGCATCAGACGCCAGCGGTCACTTCCGCAGCCAGTTTGGCGTGTGTTTATTTACCGCGAGCAGGCGGCTTTTTAAGGAGCTGCCGCGGTGGCGCGAGAGGTTGAACCAGCGGCATGAGCGCCACCTACGAGGCCTGCTCGCGGGCCTGCGAGCACATCCGCAGCCGGGTGCCCCACGTCCAGCCCCAGGTGGGCATCATCTGCGGCACCGGGCTCGGTAGCATCGCCGACGAACTCACCGACCCGAAATGCCTCCCCTACGAGGACATTCCCGGCTTCCCCAAGAGCGCAGGCAAGTTTAGCTTCTGGCGGCTTTGAATCTCTTCATGCTTATTCGACAAGTCTGACTGGTCGAGTGCTTTTCGTTTTGTTTTTTGTGCGAAGGATTAAATCAGGTTAATTTAAACAAGGAACTAATTTTTTAACTGACCAATAGGAGACATTTCTGGTCATTTCAACTCCTAATCCATTAGCTAATTGCGTTATTGAGGTTTCTGTTTTTACTGGTCATTTGCAGACGTTCTTGAGAGACTAAGATCGCAGATGGTGGGATTCGAACAAGCGTCTTAGCTTGCTCGTGATCCAGTAAATTGATTTTTTCCGAAACACTGCACTTTAAGATTGCATGCACAAGACTCCTTTTATTTGCATTCGTCAAATTTGCATAAATTACTGGCATTTGACATAACAGACACGTTCGTCTTAATGTACCAAATAACTAAGATCGAATCCCCAGGCTCGGGTCTTGTAGGGATATAGACGACAATTGAATAAGTCCACGGAAGGTGTCGCTTTGAGCTTCGGCCCATTCTGAAATTAGCCTCACCACCGCCGCCACCACCACCATCATCATCGTCGTCACCACCACAGCCACCTCCACCTCTACCATCCCTGCCACCGCCACCACCACCAACTCCATAACCACCACACCACCACCATCACCATCACCACCACCAGCACCACCAATTTCTTCTTCCTCCATTCTTTAGCTCTCGGAGAGGATGGGGTGTTTGTTTTTGGTCGATTCGGTGGAAAGGAGGTCTGCGTGATGCGAGGACGCTTCCACCCATACGAAGGCCATCCGCGTAACCTTGTAAGTCGACGAGTCAATCAATCAACTAATCAATCATCAAAGTATCGATTTCCAACACGATAACTCATTGGTCGTTCACATCCTCACGCAGCCATTGGTCGAATTTGGCCAGAATTAAGATGTCGGCTTCCCGTTTGTAGTTGGCACTTCCCATTCGCGTGATGCAAATGCTCGGCGTGAAGACCCTGTTTCTGACGAACGCAGCTGGAGGAGTTAACGAGACGTACGTGCCGGGTGATCTGGTCATCATCAGCGATCACGTCGACTTCTCCTCCATCGTCGGCCTCAATCCGCTGATGGGTCCGAATGATGAGCGGTAATGCGCGTTGGCTACAATCCACCTGCTTTTTTGGCCTTAAAATGCCACTTACCAGGTGAGTTTGCGTTTAATTGCAGATTTGGAACCAGATTCCCAGCCATGATCGGAACTTACGACAAGCAATTAAGAGACTATGGCAAGGAGTGTGCAAGGGAATTGAAAATTGATAAGCAAGTTAAGGAGGGCGTCTTCTTTCACATATGTGGACCGGCCTACGAGACACCGGCGACATTTGAAATGCTCAGGTCGCTGGGATGCGATGTCTACGGTGAGCATGCATAATAGACACCCTACTTATGTGATTTAAGTAGACATTAAGGATTGAACCATGTTTCTCGTTTGAAGGGATGAGCACTACCCAAGAAGTCGTCACAGCCAAGCACTTGGGAATGCGGATCTTCGCGGTTTCTCTGATCACCGACCCGGCGATTCACGACAGCGACAGCGGAAGTGTCTCCAGCCGCGCAGAGATGCTTCGAGTCGCCAAACTTCGCGCTCCAGTCATGGCGAAGTTTCTTGGAGCGATGCTGCAGAAGCTCTGAATACGCTGTTTCCACAAGGCCTCTCCACTTGTAGACACTAGCCATGGTACTGGTAGTTTGCTAAACTCCAATGCTTTTTTGATCAACCGAGACACAATTTGGCATCAGCTTCACCACCGAATTTTGAGCAAACGGGTTTCAAATTGGGCAATTGAGGTGAAATTATGCTCTGTTACGACCCTTAAACGCTCAATTTCAGTTGTAAGACGTTGAGTATGAAAATCTTTGAGAGACCAGAGACCGGTTGCCTGGGCGACAACTCCCTGACCAATCAGATTACGGGCTGGTTCGAAGGTCACGAACCAGCAAGCCTTAACCCCTTAATCGCGCCTGCTTCGTGTTAATACCGAGCGAAAGCGTGTGGGGTTGATTGCGCGCAATTATTAGCTCAAACAGGGCGTGTGCGTGTATAAACCTGCTCACCACACACGCACCCACAGCCTACATGCAGTCCATTAATTGCCTGTTCGTGATTGGTCACACGTTCACAGCATGACTCACGCTTCTGCCACCCCTGCCCCCCGTACTTTTCACCTCTCCTCGTTCGAGCAGTTGCCCCTCTTCAAAATAAGACTAAATTGTAGACAACGGGGGGACCAATAAAAATGATCATTTTCGACGAATGAAAAAACATATCACTGAGTAGGGGATTCGTGATTGGTCGGATGGTTTGGTTTTGAAATGGTGCATGTTTAAGTCACCGATGACCGCACAAAGTACATTTAATTTATTCAGAACACACACTCGCACGCACGTACACAAATGTTGTAGGTTTCATCAGCATCCAGTCAATTCGCACTAACTTACACAGTTTATTCACCCAAATTACTCGCTACCGCAGGAGACGTCGTTAATCACGGATTTGGGAGAAAGAGAAACCCGTGCTTAAGGGGCACAAAGTGGTTGAATGTGGCCTCGAACGCACGCACACCGTACGAAACGCTGCCCTGGGAGCGTCACATGACTTTCGCGTCAAGGTCGCTCGATGCAGGGACGTCGAAGCGTCGTGATTGGTGGACGCAACCGTGTTTTTCGCCTTAAAGTACACGCGCGTCGTCAGAACTGCTAACACCGCTAGTTTGTGTACTTGTTTGAACGCTTTCACCAACTAAATCATTTGCGAATTGACCACTACGAGACTGCCGCTAACAGACTAGCACGAATTTGTGGAAATTTAGTAGTGAAAATCGTTCAAAAGGAGATTTGAAAAATGATTGGCGGATAAATAGACTTTCCGCCTGAAAAATAAAGGCAGCAAAGTAAGAATGCTTGAGATCTTGACACCTGCAAGCTAAGAGTAATTCAGACAACATTTAGGGCTCTAACTCGAACCTGCAGAAATTTAGCAGATTGAAGTCGTAAAAAACTAAAAACACGTTTTGGTGTGGTTTACATAGTACAACCAATTCACATAGCTCATGATTTGGCTGTTCACTGAAAGACAACAGTGTTATACTACTTACTAAGTCAGAACTGAGCGGTAGAGATGGATTTTTCAATCCTAAGTGACTACTTTTCACGACAATTTACGCAAATCAACGTCGTTGTGTGCGGCCGCGAGATCACCACGAAAATCCTCCAAGTCAGTAACTCCCTCCGACGTACAAGACGCGCGTTCTGGAACCTCCACATGAAGCCTAGCATTCCTGTGTTCGTGGAATTTACAAAACGTTAGTTTTTGACATAACCAATTAAAGCTGACCTCGGCAATCGACAGCGAACGTGGGTCGCGCGTACTTCGACTCCACAGTAAACACACACACACTAATGTCGACATCGAGGCACGTTATGCCACAGCACCAACATTCCTCATTCAACGACGCCTCGGCGCCCGAGAACGCGACCTAGGCAAGTGTAGCATTGAATTCCGACATTCTGAGGCTTGCACTACAGAGGAATTCGCCTTCCTTGCGCACACACGATAGCTACGAAATGCCCATCTGCCGAAGTGCCAAAATCATCACACGGATCCTGATCGTTTTAAGGAACTAATACGCACCACCCCGTCCTACGACACCCAACGCTCAATCCCCCACAGACACCTCAAAGAATACTTGGAAGGCTTCAACGTTGCGTATAAATCTGTGAATGCATATACGTGTCTGAGTATAGCCTTGAGTGCGTGTGTGTGTGTTCATGTGTGGATGTGTTTATTCACATGTAAACGCATATGAAGCATCAAAAGTCGATCGTGGTGTGAAAGAATTCGCGAATCGGGAAAGACATTGACCATGGCGGTGGCGGTGGAAGCGACGAATCGCGCGCAGTCGAAGATAAAATACGTAGATGAAAAAAAAAAACAGACGAGAACAGATAGGCGTGCACACAGACACGCGCACGAAATGCTTGTCCCACCTCGAAGTTGAAATGGTGAAGGAGGAGGAGGCGGGGAACACACAGATTCACAGCGGACGGGCTCGAACGCGGAAGAAGATGAAGTCTTTCGGCAAACCGAAGCGGTTCTCGTCCTAAAACGCACACACACACACACAAGGTGGAAACGGCGTTAGCAATCGATAAAGATGCGGCCAAACAGTGACAATCACCTCCCCTCGTTACACCCACGCACAAAACATCCTACCACGGCTAGACAAGGCTGTCGCGACTCACCTTCTTGGAAATGCACTTCTCCTTCTTCAGAAAGACTCCGGCTACGAAGGGGAGCGCTCTAAGTGCCAAGGGCAGCTTCGCATTCGACAGGGTGGAACTGGAATCTAAAGAAAAAGAAAAAGACAAACTCGATCAATCTACGTCAGGGAATCTTGGCTAATGTCTCGCGTGATTGGGCAAGTGGATCGACCAATCAAGCACCTTCTGACTAGACTTAACAACACGCCGTTTCAAGTTACCGACTCGGGTCTTCTCGACCTTCATGAAAATTTGGATGGAGTTCGACTCTCATCTAAGGGTCTTTTTTACAACCAAGCACACAGAACCACACCGTCCACACACACACACTCCAAAGTGCTTGCTACATTCCACCGCAACGAGTAATCCACGCGTTTTGGTGAATTAGAAGGTGGAGAGACGAGGGTGAGTTGTACCTCCAGCGGTGTGACTCGGTTGAGCCCTGTGGGGGTGGATGGCCTGCAAGTGCGCCAGCCTGGCCACGCCGAAGGCCTCGAAGTCGAGGTCGTGGAGGAAGTAGACGTGTCCGTCGTTGGAGAGCATGCGCCACTGCTCTGGGGGCTGCGAAGCGCCTGCGTCGGCGGCGGCAGAGGTCGCCATCGCGTCCACGGCGGTGCCCGCGGCCATGGTGGACGAGATGATGGCCGAGGAGAGCATCGCGAGTGAACGCGAACCGCAGACGCCGGCGTTGTGGGTGGGGGACGCGTCTACACCACCGCCAT